ATTCAATCCTTTTATTTTCAAAGTTATGATTAAATTTTTGTCTATCATATTAGTTCAATCCCAGTCATTGCATACACACAGTCATCTACAATTACCTTTATTCATTTTATAATGGTTTCAATTTTCTTGCCCACCCTCCACCTTTCCTAAATAGGAATCTTGCTTTGGGATCATACACTATTTTCTCTTGCTCAGTTATTCATTATTTGTGATATCAACAAGAATAGAATTCCTTTTCTTGTTTCTCTTTTTACTTTCATCCTGTGATTAAATAAAGGTATTAATTAAAAAAAAAGTATTCCCTCCCCCATTCCATTTGTGACATTTTGTTGTCAATCAAGAATAACTACACTGACTTGGTTTCTGAAGTATTTGATAGTTTAGTCAAAGTCATTGTTGCCTTGGTATTCCCATATGGTGATGCCAGTGGGGAAGTCTTAAATTCTATCTAGACTTCTGTCATCCTGTTATACTCTGCCAAGTCTCTAGATTATGAAATTTATTACTGCCCTCTTCTTGCTTTCTGCAGCTCCACTGCTTTCAATGAAGAAGCAAAAGGAGTCTGCACAGAACTAGGGGCCATTTAAAATTTTTTCTTCATTTCATAGGTTACATAGTCAAAGAATTTGACATCAAGCAGACAATTCAACAAGCACTTATTAATCACCTCCTATGTACAAGGCACTGTGGCTACAAAGACCAAAATGAAACAGGTCCTGCCCTCAGGAGCATCCATACTACTGGTGTGTGTGTGTGTGTGTGTGTCTGTGTGTTTAATTTCCCTACTTAGTCTGACCCTTAAATAGTACAGTCATGGTCACTACCATATTACTCTAGAGGGTGGATGGGAGAACACTTTTGTAGGGGTTGATTTAACTACAGAATATTAAAAGGCAGAATAGTTCAGGAATCTTGAACTTCTAGGAGACCTCAGGGAAAATCTAGTCTAAGTCTCTTATTTTATTAGGATTAGCTCAAATTCCCATGGCAGTTTAAGGCAAAATGCTTTCCTCACAACAACGTTATTAGGTAGATACTAAACATATTATTATCCCCATTTTGCTGATGAGGAAATCCCTCCCCTTCCCCTGCTTAATAATCCATCTCATGTAACAAAGGAAAAAAAATTCAAAAAAACTACCATATTGCAGAGCACAGGTAGTACAAAAGCTAGACTTTCTCCAGGTATCAGAACCAGGGGCAGAGGGGACCAGCACCAGAATTGAAGTCTGTGGTTTCATTACCCCACTCTCATTAGATTATCTGCTCATCTATTCTATTTCTATGTTTCTGTCCTAGGTACTGATCTTTATGCTCCTTGTTCAAGAGTCATCCTTGGTAATTTGATACAGCCTACTAAACACAACGCATCTCTCCAATGTTCTTTGGTTATCTGGAATTCTTATCCTTCTGAGATAATAGTGTTACACAGTTTTCAGTCATATAAAATCATGGTGCAACTATTGATGTGAAATTGTTCGTCTATTTTCACAGAGATTGGGATCACTGAAAGTGCTGTGTAATTTCACAAAGGCAATCTGTCCTTCCCTTTTCTTCATATTCAATTCTGGGCTCAGGTAATTTTCTATCTCTAGCTCCTGTCTAATATTTATGGACTGATGGAACAACTCAATGGACTGTCTTTCCGACTGCATTTTGTAATATGGATAATGTCTTTGCTTTCATCCACTTCATTTTTTCCACTGTAACTAGCACAATCTCTATGAGTTCTACTCAGTTGCTTGATAAATGGTTATTGAAAGAACTAATAAAAGAATCGATGAATTTGCATGAGTTCCTCATCCATAAAATGGGGACACAGTGGAGAAGGAAACGGCAACCCACTCCAGTACCTTTGCCAAGAAGAGTCACGTAGAGTGGGATATGACTAGCTTTCCTATTTTTTCAGTTTTGTCATTAATCTTCTCCCTGATAAGTGTAGAGGTAGATAGGGCCTCAGAGGCTATCTGGCCCAACCTTCACATCGATGACAAAAAAAGAGGCCCAGGAAGGTTATATGGTTTCCTCGAGGTTGGCTGGCCATAAGTGACAGGAGTAACATTTGGGAAGCTTACACCAGATTTAGGGAGTAAAGAGCTAGACCCTTAACCTGAGGAACTGAAGGGCTCTCTGGAGAACAAAGGGCTCGTTCTAGAACTGGGAAAATAAATAAAATCAGCATTTCCATCCTCACTCCCACCCCTTTAAGCAATCATAAATCATTACTCACCATGGGAAATTAAAGGAGTAGCTGTTTTCAAAGCTGGACAATATTGTTCAATCTCAATTTAACTGACTTCACTCATTAGGCCCAATGTTATTTTCTTTAATATCTGTTCCTACATTCCAGCTAATTTTCTGGCTTGGTAACAAACTAATTGGTTGTGATAAAAATAAAAGATGTCCAAACAGCCATTAGAAAAACAGTTGAGACATCTTTCCTTATGCCTGCTGAGTCATTTATAAAATCCAGATCTGTCACTGTGGTGTAGGAGAGAATTCTTGGCTGAAAAAAGATAGGATTAAAAGGAGTATGAGCAGTGTGGGCACATGCAAGGGCCTGGGGCTTAGAATCATAGGCTTTAGATAAGAGAAGGGAGGGTTCTTCCGGGCCTTCTAGCGTCTAGAATGGAAAGGACTTTGACCTAGAATCGACCTAGATTCACAAGTCTACCTCTGAAGCTTGAAAGCTGTGCTACTTAATCTGGGGAAGTCACAACCTCTCTGAAGACTGTTTCCTCCTCTGTAAAATGGGATAACAGCACCTCCTTCACCAGGCTCTGGCGAGGATTAAATGAAGTCTTGTATTTAAATGCCTGAAAGCTCCATTCTTATTAGAACTACTTACTTACCCAACATTTAGAGAGAGAAGAGCCTGATTTGAATCTCAGCCTTCCCACTCCCTAGCCCTGTGTTTGGTCACCTCATTTGGGGAAGCCTTACTTATGAGATGAATCTTTAATCACTGAGAGAATCCCTTATTCAATATTAACAGTAACATGTCCGAGAAATTTCTTAAAATGCTGATTTTAAAAAAAATATGACTTTAAAATGCTTATCATCTCACTTATTAACACAAGATCAGCACAATCTTTAACAAAACAACAGAAATGAAACAAAATCTTCATGTCACCTTTAGGTCTTTCTAAATTGAGATAGCCTGGTTCAGGAGGTTTAATTTCCAAAGTTAGTTTTTCTTTACACAGAACGAGCCCCAGTTACCACTTTTATTAAGCCACTCAGTTCACAGTTTTGAGTTTTGCTTTTTGCTAGATGAGGGTTTTCACCACCTTGACCTCATTTTTCTTCCTAAGATTTATGTTTATTGTCTTGTCTGTTTATCCATTAAAATTTAAGTTAATCCATATGTGCCCTGGACCCGAGGAAGATTTTTGGGATCGAAGTTGCAGGAGTGATGGAAACGACCCTGTTCCTTTAATCAAAGTAAAAAGGAGAGATGGAAACACGGATTTTTCCTCCATTGGTGTCTTTAGATGTGTCTAAGACCATAACCTCCGGGAGAGGTAAGGTTCTACCATTTTAGAACAAAACAAACCGATATTTGTGCCCCCCAGGCTTACTGTACAGTCCAAGGGTGGGACACCTGCACACCGTGCCTGGGACAGAGAAAGTTTTCCGTTGAATGCAAGCTGATTATTCAAAGAAGGGAAGAGATGTATTCTATCAGGTCAAGGGAATGCCATCAGCCCCACACCAAGGCTAAGATCTTCTGACTCTTCTGGGTGCCCTTTAAACTGCTTAAATGCCGACAGGGGTGGGAAGAGGGGGTTGAGGCTTGTTGTCCGAGGGGACACCAGCTATGAAATTGAATCCACTTAACCTCTGCGGTCCCTGGCAACCCTCAAAGACTGAAAGTTGGGGAGCTGGGATAGCTCTGCGTCTGTAAACTACATCCCATTTGTTTCTTTATTTTTGGCTTTGTTATCTGCAAGGTCTGGCACACTGTAGGTTCTTAATAAATGTTATCTTTAGATTGATAAACAGATAAAGCTTTTATGAGCTGAGAGCTGGGGACACAAATCCCATTTGACCGAGGCCCTGCCCTCAAGGCCCTCAGGTTCTAACAGGGGAGATGGAAATGGGAGGGGGAGGTGGTAGAGGGTGAAAGCAACCCGAGGCCCAGGGTCTCCACCCCACTCCTGCAAACAAAAATGGCACCGCGAGCATCGAGGAAGAGCCTCCTTGGGCTGGGCGGGGGCTCCGAGGCATTGAACTCTGGGGGTCTTGCCCTTTTGGCGGTTTCTTGCGCCCCTCTGGCCCTCGGAAGCAGGTGGACCCCCTCTCGGAACAGTGTTTTGGCGTGCATAAAACAGTTTTATAGAGGAAAACAATTATACTGAAATATTTTGAAAATAGGTATTGAAAGTGTTCTCGGATGCCCCGAAATCTTCTTCCAGCCCTCTCGGGGGCTGTGAAGACCCCTTATCTAAAGATGAGGCTCAGGATGGGCTCTGCCCCGCCACGAGGAACGAAGGAAGACCCTCCAGGGCGGGTTGGGGGAGGGGGAGAGGGCGATTCGAACCCCCGGGGGAGGGGGCCAGGTTTTCGGCCAAGTCGAGGTGGAGGAGTTGGCCAAAGAATGACACGGGCAAGGCAGAGTAGCGGTAGCGGAGGGCGGTGAAGCGGCAGCGGGGGGCGGGGCGGAGCAGGGGCGTCCCTCCCTCCTCCCCTCCCCCACCCGCCCCGGGCTGGCCCCGCCCCCAGGCCCCCGCAGCGCTTCCCGGCTGGCTGGTTCGCAGGCTGGCAAGCTGCAGCGGGCGGGCGGAGGCAGCCGGCGGGTCACGTTGCGGCCGCGGCGTGCTGAGGCCCGGCGGGCGGGCGGAGGGATCCGGCGGGGGGTGGGGGGGGGGGCGGCGGCGCGGCGGCGCGGCGAGACCCCGGGGTGCGGGGCGGGGGATCCCCAGTCCCCGCCCTGCTTTCCCCCCGCCCCTCACCCCACCTCCTCCACGCCCCTCCCCCCTCCTCCCCTCTGGTTGGAAAGTTTCTAGAACCCCTTCCCGGCGGCCCTTGCGGTTCCAACATGGCGGAGCTGACGGTGGAGGTTCGCGGCTCCAACGGGGCTTTCTACAAGGTAGCCGGGCCGGGGCTAGGGCCGAGGCCGGGATTGGGCGGGGAAGGGGCGGCGGCAGGGGTGGACGCGAGCCCAGGCCTAGAGTCGGGGCCGGAGTCGGAAGGGGCGGCCCCGGGAGTGGGCGGCCCAGGCTGGGGCGCGGGCGGGCAGGCGGGCAGGCTGGCGACCCGGGCCGGGCCCTGCCTCCTGGCGCCGTCGGCGGCCGCGGTTTAACGGTCTCGGGCCCCGGCTCCGTTAGGCCCTGAAGCAGCCTGGGGCCGGCCAGAGGCCTCCAGGCACCGCGATGCGCCAGGCCGGGGTGGGGCGGGCCCGGGCTACCCGGGGATTGTGCGTTCATAGGCCCGCCGAGGGGGTGGGGAGGCCCTGGCAGCGGCGCCCGCGGTCCGGTGACCTTGGGTCGGCCTCCCGGGCCCCACGCGGGGCCTCGCTCTATCGCTCCGGGAAGTGGGGCCGTGGGGCCCAGGACCCGCCCGGAGGCGCTGGCCTGTGCCTGAATATTTCCGGAATGTCTGCCGGGGGTGTTGGGGGGGGAGGCGGCCCTTATTTCGGGCGTTTTGTCGCCTCGAGCACCCAAAGCCCTGTTTGTGGGGTGGGGGGGTTTAATTTGGGGAGCGAAAAGAAAGGCGAGAAGGTTCTGCTAGGTGGGAAACGTGTTTAGGCCTGGAAGTGCAGGAATCCCTCCCTCTCTCGGAAAAAAAAACTTATCTCCCCCCCCCCGTACCTCCCTTTTCCATCCCCAGGTAACCTCTTCTTTCTCCCCCCCCACGCCTCCCCGCCTCCTTTTATACTAATAGGCCGGGGTGTTACAAGAGCGATACGAACCCCCCCAACCCCAGCTCTTCCCCTCCCCCCA